CTCTCTCCTAGGTACAGAACTTAGAGAGTCTCTTCACACTTGCATAAGAAGACACAAACAACAAAGATGCTCACTGAAGAGTTGTTCATACTAACAAAACATTAGAAATCCATCAACAGCAGCAAAGACAAACTGTTCTATTCATACGATGATGCTTGAAAGCAATTAAAGTTAATGAACTTTAGCTACAAGTATCAACATGGATAAACCTCAAAAATGATGTTGAACCCTCCCCCCAAAAAAGCTATAGAATGATCGACATTACATAAAGTTTTCTATAAGGTAATGAAGGTATTAAAAACACGCATGGATATCACCAAAATCAAGATAGTAATTTCCTCTAGGAAGGGAAGAAAATGGGATTGGGGAGGGGGCTTCAACTGTACCTGAAATGTTTTATTTAAAAAATATATATACATATGTCTGTGTGTGTATGTGTGTGTGTGTATTTAATAAAACACACACACACACAAACCCTTGACACAATTACTGCAAAACATTAAGGTCTGACAAAGCTGAGTCCTGGCTACAAAGGTATCTGTTCTAGTCTTCTTCATACTTTTCTGTGTGCTTAAACTATTTCATCATGAAAAAAATTTACCAAAAGCAATCACCCATTTCTACCCTCCTGGCTGGCCCTCTTCCTGTACCTTTGCTGCAGGCCTGCGGTCGCAGCAGTCACTGTGCTGGTTATTACCAGGGCAGGAGACCCAGCTCCTTCCACCCTGCCTGCTCCTCACCAGGCAGCAGCACTGGTGGACTGCACATCTCTGAGGGCACTGCAGAATGTGAAGCCCCATGTCTGCCTGGCCGTGTCCTGCCCCAGGAAGACGCAGAAGAGGATGAGATGCAGGCCTGTTGTTTCCTACAAGGTGCAGGCAGGTGGCGAGAACTGGGACCAGGTCCCCAGGCAGGGCTGGAGCATCCCTGTCCAAGAGGGGCTAAATGAGCAACCCAGAGAGCTCCCATTCTCCCCTCAGTGACAGGCAGATCTAGGGGTGTAGAAAGCAAGAGCTCTGGAGTTAGGGAGACCTCGGATCAAATCCAGTCCTAGCACCAAATAATTCCATGACCTCAAGCAAATTATTTAGCCCAAGCCTCTGTTCTGCAATTTAAAGTACAAATAAATGACCCTTACCTCACAGATCTGTGTATAGTGACCCAAAAGATGTTCAAGAGATATTAAGTACAAAAAGAAGCTGAGCAGTATATAAAATGTATGATCCCATTCTTGTTCAAAAAATTACATTAGTAGTAAACATCCATGTATACACATAATTCTGGAAGGCTATTGTTGTTCCTAGTTGTCAAGGAGTTGATTCCAACTCATGGCAACCCATGTGTACAGAGTAGAACTGCTCCATACCTAGAACTATATTTGGTTAGGTCTGAAGATATCTAAGTCTGTAGAGGGTTGTCTATATTATACATTCTTCTATTATTTAAATTTACCTTCATGAGTAGAAAAAATACTTGGAAAAAATCAAAAGGCCTTCCTTAGAGTGTGGCTTCTGAGGATTGTAAAAGGTAAGAAAAAGGTTACTCTGTCCCTCCCAGAACCACCCAAATAACACAACCACTTTAACAGGGCTATAATGGAAGAAGAGTCGGTAAGAGCTCAGGCTTCAGAGTGAAGCAACTCAAATACCAGCTTCAGCACTTCCTCACTGTGGCCTTGGGAGAATGATCTTCCCTTTCTGAGCCTCAGTTTCCTCAACTCTAAATTGAAAATGTTATAGTACCTATCTCAAAGGGTTATTGTGAGGTTATTGACCGTGTGTCAAATACAACACCTGGCATAGAGTTCGTGCGCTATAGTTCCCAAAACCACACCTGCCATCACAGAAACCCTCCACCTCCCAGAATTCAGGAGGAAAACAGAGCTAGGTGAGAACTAAGCCACAAGCACAAATGCCTCCAAGCACAGAGCAGACCACCCAGAGGCTATGAAATCCTTTGTCAGCGGTGAGGACCAGGGCTGAAACAATCATCCCTGGGCAGTGGTTCTCAGTGTGGTCTGCAGACCACCAGCCTCAGGACCACCTGGGGGCTTCTTCACAGTGCAGATTCTAGGGCCCAGCCCTTAAGAGGTGGTGGGACCCAGGAGAAACAACATTTTAAACAAGCTCCCTAGGTGACTCTGATGCCCCCCAACCCTGAGAATCTTGAGAAAAAGCAGCAGGCAATGGAAGATGGGGTAGGAAGAACACAGGCTGTCAAGGCAAACGGACTTGAGCTGAGTCCTGGCTCTGCCACCTAGCAGTTGTACAACTTTGGGCAAAAGACTTAGTTCCTCTGAGTCTTGACCTCCTTGTCTGTAAAATAACAAAACTCACTCTGTCCAAAGCTCTGGCGAGGGAAAGATGAGTGAATGCACACGGGGACCCAGCGCACCCCCTACCACTTGAAGCACGGCCACTCTAGGAGACCATAGCACGTGAAGGCTCTGCTTCCAGGGCTGGGAAGAAGGCAGAAGCTTGAGACGCAGAGCATTATCTAAAGACGCAACTCCTGGGGCTCCCCGACAGGAAGTGTCTCCTGTGAGAAGGAAAAGGGACTCCAGGAGAGGAATAGGAGGAAGAAAAGTGGGAGAAGGAGGAGACTGAGCCTGAGAAAAACTGCCAGGTGAGGCGCAACAGCAGGAGCTCCGGCAAAGACCTTGTTCCCAGCCTTGATCCTGCCACACAATGCTCTCCAGGCTCCACAAAATGAAGCTGCTCAGGCCAGAAATCTCACCTTGCTGAAACCCATCCCGAGATCATCTGGATGCCCCCAAAGAGCAACTTTAGACCCAGGTCACAGGGTGGGCCCTTTGCCTTTGCCCTGCCTGCCCTCCCGCAAGAAAAATACCCGAGAGGAGCATTCCAAGGGGATTAAGACTAAGGCTTCCTCTGGGTACTGCAAGGGTAAACCAAGTCCGTGTCATCCTGCTCCTTAAGGGCCAGGAAGCACCAGACCCAGGCAAACCCAACACTTCGTGTGTGTGTGTGTGTGTGTGTGTGTGTGTGTGTGTGT